CCTAGCCAACAAATCAGTGTTTCCCTCTCTCTCATTGGTTGATTCTTGTATGTGCACTGACAGGGGATTGAACCCAAAACCTTGGCATATGGGGATGACACTGTAACTGAGCTACCGGGCCCGGGCTTTTAATGGGGACATTTCTGTCACAAGATAAACTAATAGGAACAGTAAACCAAAGGGTATGGGATTGGAAGATATCATGCATACTTCCCCAGTAGGAAACTCCACGTATCTGACAGAAAGGGGAACAGCCACCCTTAGCTTATCTAGCTCAAGAGCTTTGGTCACAATCTAATGTGCACTTTGTTCCTGTGAAAAGGACAACCTGTCCCATTGCAGCTGCCAGGGGCTTCAGGCCCCATTTGACGGTTTTGCTACTTCTCTCTCTGGCCCTCCGGATGCCCCTGGATCAGAGCAAACAGGAGCGCCTGCCCTCTAGTCTGAGTGTATTTAAAGTTGGTGCAATCGCTCATCTTGCATTCGCAGAGAATGGTTCTAGATAAGGACGCTGTTTCTGAAATGTGACAGTTTAATTTCTAAAATTCACAGAACAAGCTTTCAACAACATGTTCTCATGGCTCTGCCTTAGTTAACAGAGTGGGCGGAGCGTAACTGAAGCTACTGTTAACTGACCATTGCTCATGGACACTTCAGATGCCACACTCTGCCCATGGAAGCCTGTCTTTCCCCTGCTGTTCCACCAGATTGCCTCCTGGGTAGCCAGCCGTCTTGGGCCCTGCTTCTATTTTTAAAAAATTTAATAGTTTTACTTTTGCACAATTTTCCCTTTGGTAGGCTCTCTACAGCCCCAGATTTTCATAGGATGAGAATTTTCGGAGCTAGAAGGAAATTGGAGCCTCCAGTCTTTGTTGTCACCTAGGGTAGAACTGCGGGTTGCCAAGGCAACCAGATAATCCAATATTGTTTGTAACACTAAATTAGAATTGCTCTCTGTGCATCTGAAGGAATAATGTTTCAACACTTTATCACAGTTGCAGGTGTTGAGGTCAGAGCCTTTCAAACGTGTTTAGTTTGTTTTTATGGTCACTGTGCATCTGGAAGGGGGGGGAGGTGTGGACAGAGAGGACCACTGCACCCAGGCTCGACCCCATCTACAAGACAGAAAGGCTCAGAGGGTTTGGAACTATCTGAGTTCCCAGCTCAGGTGCCTCTGGAGTCAGTGTTCTTTCACTCAGCGTAATGTTTTTAAGGCGCATCCATGTTGTAGCATGGTCAGTGCTTCATTTCTTTGATAACATTTTATCTGTTCATTCATTGGTGGATGTATGAATTCTTCCCACTTTTTGGAAATTGTGAACAAAGCTTTTATGAACATTTGTATACACGTTTTTGTTTGAATACCTTAAGGTACATACCTAGGAGTGAAATTTCTGGGTCATATGGTAATTCTATGTTTAACTTCTTAAGGAAACACCCAACTTTTTGCAGAGTAACTGAATCATTTTACATCCCCATAAGGAATCTGCCAGGGTTCCATTCAAAGTGAAAGAGAGCTGTTTGCTACATCTACTGTGAGGGTGAAGACCATTCTCAGCAATCACACAGACTGTGGACATCCCAGAAAATGTGGACATCACTCTGAAGGGATGCACAGTTATTGTGAAGGGCCCCAGAGGCACCCTGTGGAGGTACTTCAACTACTTCAATGTAGAATTTAGTCTCCTTGAAAAGGAAAAGAAGAGGCTCTGGGTTGACAAATGGGGAAATAGAAAGGAACAGGCCACAGTTCGCACTGTGTGCAGTCATATACAGAATGCGATGAAGGGGGCTACACTGGGCTTCTGTTACAAGATGAGGTCTGTGTACGCTCACAGGAGGGCCCACCCTCTTGTTCCAAAGCTCTGCTAGAATTGGGACTAAGTTGCTGATGGTGAAAAAAGAAGAGCAGATCCGCAAGCATGTGGCCTCATTCTCTTGTCTTCTTGTTCGTTGACTCCTCTTTTAGGGTCCTTTATACTAGACTGAATTTTCACAACACTGAAAGCCTGGGTTTTTTCTCCCCCTCAGTTGGCATTGAAATCAGAGCTGCCTTAAAGAACAGCTGAGCAATGCATCAGGCTCTTTGTGGCTTAGAAAGAGCTTCCAGCCCACTCTAAATGAGATTTCTAATGCCACACAGGCTCCAGTGGGCATGTTCCAATTTCATGGTCATACGTTACGGGCATTGTTCTAAGCCTGCATGAAAGCGTTTGCTAAGTCCAGCTGCTCTGAGCTTTGCATCAACTGCTTGGGCAAACTGGCAGCCCCTGTGCCACATTCTTTCCAGACCAGAAAGATTGTTGAGTATTACAGATTTTTTTTCTGGTATGAAGCATCCTTCAATATAGGTACATGTGTCCTTGAAATGTGGCAAAGGCCCGTGGGATTTTTTGTTAGCCCTGGCTGGTATTCACTGTGGTTAGAGTGTTGACTTAGGCACTGAAGGGCATGTGCCTGGGTTATAGGTTCAATCCCCAACCACAGTCGGGTTAGTGCAGGAGGGAACTAATCAATGTGTCTCTCTCACATCTATGTTTCTCTCTCTCTCCTTCTCCCTCCCTCCCTTCCACTCTCTCTAAAAATCAATGGAAAAAATGTTGTCGGGTGAGGATTAACAACAACTACAGAAAAGAATTTATTTTTAGTGAGGTAAATTTCATATACAATAATTCTTCTAGATCTTAAGTGTACAGTTGGATGAATTCTTTAAAATGTATACACCTAAGCAAGCAACCCCCCAATCAAGATGTAGAACTTTCCTGTCACCTCCAGAAATGGTCTTCTGTTCCCTTCCTTTCTATTCCTGCCCCACCCACTAGGCAACAACTTTCCTGATTTCTATTGCCATAGATTAGTTTGTGTCTTTTCTATAATTTCCTATAAATGGAATCATACCATATATCATTTTTTAAAAAATATATATTATTGATTTTTTACAGAGAAGAAGGGAGAGGGATAGAGAGTTAGAAACATCCATGAGAGAGAAACATCGATCAGCCGCCTCCTGCACACCCCCCACTGGGGATGTGCTCGCAACCAAGGTACATGCCCTTGACCGGAATCGAACCTGGGGCCCTTCAGTCCATAGGCCTATGCTCTATCCACTGAGCCAAACCGGTTAGGCTGTATATCATTTTTAAATCTACTTTTCTTGTGTCTAGAGTCTTATTATTTTAGATTAATCCTGTTGTCACTGGTATCCATCATTTATTATTTTTAATTGGTAGTGAATATTTCATGATATAAATATACCAAAATTAGTTTACTCATGTTTTGAGATTTACCATTATTATGTGTATCAACATTTTGTTATTTTTTATTGCTGCGTTATATTCCATTATATAAATGCACCATAAATTGTTTATCTCTTCTCTAGTTGAGGGACATTTGGATTGTTTCTACCTTTTTGAGAATTATGAACAAAGCTGCCATAAAGATTCCTGTAAAAGTCTGCTTTTGGAAGTATGTTTTACCTAGGAGTTTGATTGCTGGTTGTACAGTAAATGTATGTTTCACTTCATAAGACACTGTCAGATCTTTCCCCACAATGGTTATACCATTTTACATTCTCACCAACAATGTGTGAAATTCTAATTGCTCTACATCCTCATTTCAATCATTTCCATGGGAGTGGCATGGTGGCATCTCATAGGGTCAGGGGATTTTCATGGAACTTTGTGTATTTGCATCTAGGCAGGACAGCTGGGACCAGCAGGAGGACCCTGGCAGCAATCAGGGATCTGGTGCTCCACACTCTCCTTCTTCCGATCCTTCACCATGTTCTACTGATTGTCCTTCATAGTCTCCCCACATCTGACCTTTTTTTTATTTTCAGAGTTGTAGTTAGTGCTCTGACAGCTTCTGTTTTGGGGTTGAACTCCTGAACTTGGGCCAAACTCCAACTTCTGATCCAGGAGAGAGAGGGTTGTTGAGGGCAAGTAGTATCAAGAAGGGTATCTTCCTCTCACCTCTACCTCATTTCAGCCTTCTGGCCTCCTTCAGGATTATAGTTTCACTGGAGTATGCAAGTCAGATCAGATATCATGGTCATTCTATCATATGGAACAGAAAGCTCCTTGGGTATTGAAAATGATTCCCAGGAATCATAGAGCTTAATTCAGTGATCATCAGAGCTTCACTAGGCATATATGGTCAAGTGGGGTGGTGAACATACAATAAAATATACAGATGATGTATTATAGAATTATACACCTGATACTTATAAAATTTTATTAACCAACTAGAGGCCCGGTGCACGGATTCATGCACCAGTGGGGTCCATCAGCCTGGCCTGTGGGGATCGGGCCAAAACCAGCAGTCCGACATCCCCCAAGGGGTCCCGGATTGCGAGAGGGCTCAGGCCAGGCCAAGGGACCCTACTGGTGCACAAATCCATGCACCAGGCCTCTAGTATACATATAAGATCTTTGGTTAATCTCTTCCTGCCCTCCCCCTTCCCCTCTTCCCTCTGAGATTCATCAGTCTGTTCCATGTTTCCATGCCTGTGCATTGAGCATCTGCCCCCTGGTGGTCAGTGTGCATCACAGCTACCAGTCAAACAGTCACTAAGGCTTTTATATATATACTAGAGGCCTGTTGCACAAAAAGATTCGTGCAATAGGCCTTCCCTTCCCCTGGCTGCCGGCACCGGTTTTCCTCCAGCACCCGGGACGCAGGCCTTTGCTCCAGCCGGAGCCGCCTTCAAGCCTTTGCTGCTCCGGCCGGAGCTGCCTTCAGTCTTCCCTCCGCCGCTTTGCGCCTACATATGCAAATTAACCTCCATCTTTGTTGGCGGTTAATTTGCATATCTCGCTGATTAGCCAATGGGAGGCGTAGCGAAGGTACAGTCAATTACCATGTTTGTCTATTATTAGATAGGATATAGATGTCACCCCAATAAATTCAATAAATAAATAACAGATGCTCCCCTTACCCCCAAAGACTATACAGTCAAGGATGACTTCAAGGTTTTGAGTCTAAAAGGCATCTCTCTATAGATCCTAGACTTTCATCTTCAGAAAACCATTGTTTTGTGGGAGCTCTCCAGGGTACTGGACTTCTGCCTGAAAAACATCTCTGACATCGCAGACTAGTGTTCCACAGCTACATCTAACTGACATCTCTGTGTGTCTTGAACATTGTCTTCTTTATACCAGGTTTGTTTTTTATGTTAAAATGACTTTAACTTATCTTGCATTTTACAGAAGTCTATGAATGACTTCTTAAAAGCACCACCTTACCCCACCATGTTTCTCTGACAGTTGTTAAAGTAGGCAGTTAGTACGTCAACAGCTTGAGCATCAGCATCTAGCAAGGATTTCATACCAACCAGCCACACGCCAAAGAACTTGGCAGCTTTTCTATGTTGTTTTTAATACAATGGTCCTTTTATAACAGCTTTTAATCCCAACACAAATTCTGAATGCCTATGACTAAGACATTCTCTCTTCCATCTCCTCAGCCACTACGTAGATCAAGCTACCACGGTTTTCCAATTCAGTGATTCTCAAACTTTAATGTACAAATGAATCACTTGAGGATTTTTTTAGAATGCAGATTCTGATTCTAGATTTGGAGAGCGGGCCATATTCTGCATTTCCAAAAAGCTCTGGTCTATCTGCTGCTGTTGGTCTTTGAACCACACTGAGCAGTAGCAAGTCTCTAATTTTCCCACTTGCACTCCTGCTCCTCAACACTAGAGTTATTTTGAAACCAAGAACCCTTTCAGTGACTTATAGTTATGCTTAGAATGAAATTGAGACTCATGGAATGCTGCATGGACTGGCATTTGTTTACCTTCTTTGCCACATTACGTACAAGCTTCCTCTCATTCTCCACATTTCAGTCACACTGGTCTTTGACTGCACTTACAGAGAACCACATTCACCCCAGTCCGAGAGCTCTGTGCACGCCATTTCTTCTTGAAACTCCCTCTCTTCTGTGGAACTGCCTCTTTCTACCAGCAAGTCTCTGTGGCTCAGCTTAAATGTGTCCTTTTTAGAAACACCCAACTAGAAGGTAAGCTCCATCGAGACAGAAACATGTCTGTTTCATTTACTGTTGTAGTCCCAGCATGCAGTACACACTCAAGAAAAGAAGGGGTCAATGGGGAAGAAGAGGGACATATGTAATACTTTCAACAATAAAAATTTAAATTAAGGATAGAAAGGAAATATTGAGTGAGTAAGTATAAATACCACAAGCTTTACCCAAACAGGTCTTGATTAACATAGCTTTTAAACAGTCTCAATTAGATTACTTAGTTTTCTAGCTGGTTATTGCATTTTGAATAATAGACTATAGCTTTCTAACTTTGCTTCATCTCTAGGATTTCCTGCTTGTGAATCCGTGTTGTTCTCCGTCATCACCTGCATACGTCTATGTCCTAATGCCCAGAACCTGTTATTGTGATAGCATGCACAGCAAAGGGGACAGTGCAGATGTGATTAAGTTGAAGATCTTGAAATGGGAAGATTTTCCTGAATTATCTGGGATCAGAGTTAAAGATAGATGATGGCAAAAGCAGGCGGGAGGGGGAGGAGAAGTATGGATTTGAAGTTGCTATGCTGCTGGTTTTGAAGACGGAGGAAGGGGCCAAGGAATGCAGATGGCCTTTAGAAGCTTGGAAAGGCAAGGAAATGGATTATTCTCTAGAGCCCAGAAGGAATACAGACTTGCTGACCCATTTTAGACTTCTGGTCTCCAGCACTGGAACACAATAAATGCGTGTTCTTTTATGCCACTAAATGTGTGGTAATTGATCACATCTGCAATAGAAAACGAATACAGTTAATAACATAGCATTACAAAGTCCAAGTTCCCGGATGTGAGCCCAGGGTCAGCGCTGCCAGCAGATCCTTCTAAAGAGCAGCATCAGGCCTAGAGTGCTAACTCCTGTATAACCATACAGGGAGGCAATGACCACACATGTGAGAAGGATCCCATGACCAGAGCTGCCTACCCAAGCCACAGGAGACTGCAGAGGTATTCGTGAGCCCAGCCAAGACCAAAAGAACTCCTCAGCAAGATTACGATGGAGGGCAATAATAAATGTTTATTGGTTTGAGCACTGAGTTTTATGGTGGTTTGTGAGACGGCAATAGCTAACTCACTCCCATGGAATTCAAGGCCTTTGGTAGGAAGTCATGAACCCAATGCATATACCTCATCTTATCTCTTGTTCAGAAAGTGTTTTGTTTATACTGGTCTATTTCATGTCAACCACACAATCCTTGTTCCTTCCTATGGGGTACTTTTCTCCATGTCATCCCTGTATCTAGGCACCTTTCCCATCCACATCTTTGCCTACTGTTTCAGAATGTAATTGACAGGCATTTGGCACGTACTTCTGGGAGCTTCCAAGCTTTCTAGTCAACTGATGCCATGTGGGATTCGGTTAGGATCATGCACTGTGCTACCAGTATTAAAAAAGGCTTTTAAGTCATTGCCATCTGTAAGCTCTCAACAGAACAAATACTTTGGAAAACATTTTCCCCTTAGATGAGAAAGTAGAGTTGGTGAGAGAGCTGCCAAAGTTAGTTTTTTCTCTTAGTGAGAGGGAGGTTTACTGATTTTTTGAGAGTTCATGGAACTCTTATTTCTTCAGTCTCATAGTCAAGCTGACTGATGTGCTCATTGGCACTTCGATTATTATTGTATTTATAAATGTTAAGAGCTCATCTGGCCCCAAGTTAAGCGGCTTGTCATATGTCTTTGCCATCGAAGAGTTAAAGCTAGCTACGGAGCCTTGAAACCAGCCAGTGTTCTGAGGCAAGAGCTGCAAATCTTGTTGACAATCACAAAATGGCGACTTGGCAAATGCTCTTACTGCATTGTAAAAAAGAAACACTGCAGCCGTTATTTGTGGAGTGCTTAGCCCGTGCCAAGCCTTGGGCTCAGTCATGGGGACACAGAGGTGAATAACACAGAAATAGTTCTTAACCTTATGGAATTTATGATGCAGTGTAAAAAATAATAATAGGAGTAAATAAGTTTTTTAGGTCAGCAATGTGATATAAAGGCATTTGAAGATTTAAAAAAGTCTGACAATCATATCATTCCAAGAATATCCATCTTTTGTGTCATATAACATTCATTTCTAAATTTTTAACAATATTCCATCACAGTCTTATACTCAACAAATATGTCCTGAGTGCTAACTCTATTCTAGTCACTCTGGTTGACACTGAGGAAGCCATGGAAAAGAACAGTGTAATCCCTGCTCTCCTGAACTGTGCATTCTCACTAAACATTAACAGAAATAAGGACAACACATCCGGGCCACAAAAGTGTGGCTCATATTGCATTATGTTTTGCATTGTTGAAATTTGTACATTTTGTTAAATCATCCAACACACTCCTAAAAATTATGTGGGTTTTTTTTCTAGCCAAATCCTTATCAAAGAGACATAGAGAGACATATAGATTAATTGGATGGTTAGAGTTAGATTATGTATGAACTTGAGGAATGAAAGAACTGACCCTGGGACTTCTGGTGATGTTTTCAACAGACTCCCCAAGTCTCTCACTATTCGTTTGGTGAATGTTGTGGAAAGAGCACTGGATTTGAAATCAAAAGTCCTAGTTTCCACTTTTTTTTTTTTGAGTAGAAGAATATATTTATTTTTATTTTACACCCTTTAGTCTATTTGAATTTATTAAAAAGTTGCATGCCATAGATTTCTTGGCATATGTTGTTTTTATAATAATTACATTAAAAGTAATATTGAGCTATTTTATTATTTATTTATTTATTTATTTATTTCCTAGTTTCCACTTTGCCATGAAATGCAGCTCTGTGATTTGGGGCTTATCATTTCACCTTTGTCTTCTTTGAAAACAGGAATTTCAGCTCTGCTCAGCTCCAAAGTCTGTATCTCTCTGACCTATTTTTCCCATATAGTTGCTATTTACATTTCTCTGTGACTTCCTAACGTTTAAATTTGATAGAGAGACCCAGCTAACTAGAGAGAGGACGGCCACACAAGACTAACATCCTGTGTTACCATCATTCATTTCAACGGCAAGAACATGAAGTAGCAAAGAGCGTTTGCTCATCAAAGAAGGCTTGTTTGTACGTAGGCAAACAGGATGTGGGGCAGCAGCCGGGTAGGATCACTGATTGTGGACGCCTGACTTAGCCGCTGTTTCAGAAAGAAAGAACACGCAGCTTCAGTTTCAGGATGTTAGCCCTGGCATGGGGTCCAGAACCCAGGGACATGGAGCCAGGGCATGTGGGGCTTTGTCAGTCTGCCCACTCACAGGCCCGGGGACTGAGACGAGTGCATGGACATGCCTTTTTCACTTTTTTCTGCTGCAGAGCATGAGCGGTTTCTGCCTTAGCAGCCCAGGATTCTCTGAGCATTCAAGCTTTGTAATTCAGTCACCTTAAAAGCCAGGGTAGGGAGATTTCTTAGTTTGAGATGTAAAGAGGAATCAAACAAAATGAGAAAATATAATAATATTAAGATGCCCCAAACAAATATTGATGCTTTAAGAATTTCAGCATCCTGGCCCTAGCCGGTTTGGCTCAGTGGCTAGAGCGTCGTGGACTGAAGGGTCCTGGGTTTGATTCCGGTCAAGAGCACATGCCCAGGTTGCGGGCTCAATCCCCAGTAGGGGCATGCAGGAGGCAGCCAATCAATGATTCTCTCTCATCATTGATGTTTCTATCTCTCTCACCCTCTTCCTTCCTCTCTGAAATAAATAAAAATATATTTAAAAAAAAAAGAATTTCAGCATACTGGTTGGAGGGGAGCCCATCTGATTGCTTCTCACTAAGGAATCTTGCACATGAAATCCCTAACCGTACCAACCAAAGTGATGACTCACTCCAAAACCCTGGTGGAAGAATGATGACATGGGCAAATATTCATGAGGCTATCTAGGGCATCAGTATTTATAAAGAACCATTAATGCTATAGAAGACAGAGGGCACGGGTGGCAGAGTGCACACTCTACTACAAGAGATTACCTGGCTGCAAAGAAATTCTTGCACCTCTCTGAATGCATCTCCCCAGACACTGGTTCTCTCTCACATCCCCACCGTGGCCTCATTATTGAGAGTCAACTTCTTGGGTTTTGGGTTGTTTTTATTTTTTTGGTTTGTTTTTAAAATATATTTTTATTGATTTCAGAGAGGAAGGAGGGAGGGGGAGAGAGATAGAAACATCACTAATGGGAGAGAATCATTGATCAGCTGTCGGCTGCCTCTTGCACGCCCCGTACTGGGGATTGAGCCCACAACCCAGGGATTTGCCCTTGACTGGAATTGAACCTGGGTCCCTTCAGTCCACAGGCGGCCTCAGTCCACTGAGCCAAACCAGCCAGGGCTCAACTTCTTGTTTTTACAAAAGGTACGTTTTGGTTATCCAGGATTGAATATCTCTTCCTTACATCTTTATGACAAATGTCTAACCCAACTGTGACATCGCCTGTGCCCCCGCAGGTTCTGGGACACCCTCCCGTTCTCTGCCACAGCTGCTCAGGTAGGGCAGGCACCTGTAACATCAGCCTGGATAGAACCCAGTGTGAAGGTGAGTCTGCTCTGAGCAAAGCAGCCTTTCAGACAGGCAGGCCGTCAATGCCACAAGAGCACGGTTTCATTGACAATAGTTAAGAGGAAGTTGATAAGCGCTCATAAAAATTCATTTATTCAAAAATGTTACTGAGACTTTATTATACAAGTGACCCAGCACTAGCTGTTGGTGATACAGTAATGAAGAGAAGCTACAGTCTTGGCCAGGGGTCCTCAAACTACGGCCCTCGGGCCATATGCAAATACAAATATTGTATTTGTTCCCGTTTTGTTTTTTTACTTCAAAATAAGATATGTGCAGTGTGCATAGGAATTTGTTCATAGTTTTTTTTTAAACTATAGTCCGTCCCTCCAACGGTCTGAGGGACAGTGAACTGGCCCCCTGTTTAAAAAGTTTGAGGACCCCTGGTATAAACCAACCAGCTTCAAGGAAACAGAGGGTTGCAGGTGAGAAAACAAAGCAGCCAGAGCACCTGAATGCAGAGCCCCTTAGGGACTTGAAGAAGGAATGTCCCTCCCGGCCATTCGTGGAGGCAGCCTTTGCCCAGAACAGCCTCCAGCGCCCCCAAGTAGAGCTTCTGGGAGTTCATGGCACTGTTCATGCCAAGCCAGACACTACCTAACACAGCTTAGGCTGTTTCAGCTCCAGAACAACTTGAACATGGTTAGCCACTTACTTCCTAGCCCAGTGATGGCGAACCTTTTGAGCTCAGCGTGTCAGCATTTTGAAAAACCCTAACTTAACTCTGGTGCCGTGTCACATATAGAAATTTTTTGATATTTGCAACCATAGTAAAACAAAGACTTATATTTTTGATATTTATTTTATATATTTAAATGCCATTTAACAAAGAAAAATCAACCAAAAAAATGAGTTCGCGTGTCACCGCTGACAC